TGACATTGTCATTCTTGCCGGAGATTTTAACGCACGAGGGAGACGTCTGCAACCAAGCGAACACCATCTTGGGAGTAGTTTTGGCCTCGGTAGCAGCCGACCAGACAATGGAGACAGACTACTGACTCTTTGTTCTGATCATCGCTTGTTTCTTTCGAGTACAAGTTTTCGCCATTTGTAAAGATATATTGCTACCTGGCGTCCGCCTTCTCAAACCCAAAAATGGTCCCAGCTTGACCACATTGCAATAAGCGACAGATGGCACGGAAGCGTAACAGACTACCGATTGTACTGGTCAACTTGTCTGGACACAGATCACGAATAGTTCGCGCCAAACTATGCATACGTTTCGCAGGATCATATAGATGTACGCAGTAACGACCGAACGTCGAAAAGCTGCAACATCATGCGATGTTATCCAAGTAACAGGCTTCTCTGTCAACACTGTTTGCTTCATTCTCTAACCATTGTCTCAATTCGCAATGGATACCACATCAAAAACTTATTAATTTCTGCCAGTACTGGCAGTTGTGGATTTGCTTGTCATCCGCCGGATATCTGGATCACCACTGCCTCCTTGTCGCTGATGGACAGACGCCGCTTGATCCCAGCCGACACTGGCTGTAGTGAGGAACGCTGGTCTCTGGATCGAGCATTGAGTAGGAGCCTACAGAAGCACCTTGAGATCTGATTGTGTGAACATGCTAGAGATTTCGGACGTGTTCCTGGATATCCGTGCTGCCTTCCATTCTGTCGACAGAGCTTCATTGTGGCACTATCAGGTGAGGAATCGTATTGCCGGAGAGTTGGTTTCCATTCGGCTTGCTCTGTATGGTCTGACTTTGGCTAGAATTAGGGCTTATGGCAAGCTTTCGCGTTCCTTTGTTTTCACTAGTGGGGTTTGACAAGATTGTCCTATTTCTCCATTCCTCTTCAACTTTGCCATTGATGATGTCCTCAAAAATACTCTAGGAGACTTGTTAAAAGGTGATGTTGAGCTCCTTCCAGGTAGTCGGGTGGTTGATTTGGATTACACCAAGGACATCACATTGGGTGACGGTCCGCAGGCCGTCCAACTTGCACTTAACCGCCTGGCGATTGAAGTGTTCATTCAAGTGGAAAGCGCTTTTTTAAGACTGGTATACGCCTCTACCTGCACTCACCATCGATGGGGAATTATTAGAATTAGTAAAGAGTTTGTCTACCTAGGAAGCTGCATAACTACTGGTGCAGCTGTTGGAAACGAAAGATCGATGCGTACCTCAAGAGCTCGTCCCACCTTCTCCAGGTTGAGGTAATTATGGCGTAGCCGTCACATCCGACTCTCCATCAAAAGACGGGTTTACGGTGTTACTGTGCGCGCTGTACTGTTGTACGGTTGCGAGACTTGGCTTGCTCGTACCGATGACCTAGGTCGACTGTCTGTCTTCGAGAACCGTTGCTTACAGTCCATCGCCAGTGTGTAGTGAATGAACCACGTAACCAACGGTGAAGTCAGAGAGCGTGGCTTGGGTGGAGACAGTCAATCCCTCAAGGCACTTGCCTCCCTTCGCCGACGACGATGGCATGCACACGTACTGCCTAAGCCCGTACAACGTCTTCTGCGTCGTGCCTTGTTCCTGATCGATGGAAAAGTTGGATGAGGTGGTGGTGAACAGGTTACAATTTAGAAAAGCAGAATGAAAAAGCTGACAAAACAGCTGGCTATGGCTGGTTCCTCCCGACTGCCTGTATGGCGTCCCTAGGACGCTGAGTACAGTTCGTTGGAAACCATGGAAGTCATGGCTCAAAACCAAACTCAGTGGCGTGCTTGTATCTCTGTTTGTTGCGGTGATCCCCCTTTCTCACACCAAGAAAATACATCAAAAAAACGCAAAACCCGTGAGTGGAACAATGGACATGAAAACTGCTTTATATGTTCATTTATTCTAACCTTATTTTCCAATACTGCCATGGTCCCGATGACAGTATCTGTACACAGATTGTGATATATATATATATATATATATATATATATATATATATATAGAGAGAGAGAGAGAGAGAGAGAGAGAGAGAGAGAATGTCAGTGAACTCCCATCCCATCGTGCAAATCACCGAAGTGACGCAGTGGTGCATGCTGCGACTAAGCTAACGGTGTCAGTGTAAGAACTAACTGGATGGCTTGAGGCGGGCAATGGTAAAACATTGAGAACCCGGAAGGTGCCCACCCATCGTCAGAGCAATGCGTGTCGCTCAAGCTCTACGCCAATCGAGCTGTTGGCTTAAAATCCGTAGATCTGGTGTCTCCCATGGATAGGTATTATGGGAAGAAGGCCATCGACCACTTCCTAACCTCCGGAAAGGATGGACTAATATACTTGCAGGGCGCTCACACCTGACAGGAGAACGACTCGGGTCCTCAGCCAAAGCCTTCGATTAAATGTACACCCGAAAGGCAGCGGGTCTAACACACGATCACTTCACCGACTTATGCGGATTGGTGTCCTGGATCTTAGCAGGGAGAAGGGCGTAACCCAAGTCCCACAAGGCAGTCGAGACGAGGAGGCGTCCAGGACATGAGCCCATGGCACAACCGTATCGGTGTGAGAACTTGTGTCATTGCCAAATGGTGCAACTGGTGAACATCATGACGATATTGCTCACCTTTTCGACAACAAGGACTTGGCCTATGAGATGGATGCATGCTAGGTGATGTTTGCACAATGACCCGCAAAACTGAAGTTCTCTAGGCCGACTTCGTGTAAAACCATTCAGAGTAAGTGTCGCAATGCATCCGCATACAACAGACAGAAAAAACGAATCAACGATGGGTGATGAAACTGTATGAAATTTCGTCACAATTGTTCTCTGCTTTACAGTGAAGTCAGTAAAGGCAAATCGGAGCAAAATAATATCACGGGATAAAAAGAGGCAAATAAAAATAAGCGAAATCTGGTTTCATACCCACTCACTGTCCCTACAGATTGCCGATGTGTCTCTCAAAATTCCTGGAGTTGACCACTGCGCTCCGACAAACACGTAAGTGTGTACTGATGTGCGCTTGGTAGACACGAAAGTAAACAGAAAGGACACAAAGTGGATGATGAAAAATCATTAAAAAGCCGTCAAGTCGCACAACCTGAGCACATTGAGATCAAAGGGCGCCATCGGAGGATCACACCAACAGCGCCTCATGCGGCGTGGCATCGCCGTATCATTGTGGTTTCGACTGACGCTGAAATATACGAATCAGATGGCAATTGAATTGAAAATAGAAAGAGGAAGTCGTGTTCAACGTTTTTGTGAGCAGCAAATTGTATTCCAAGGCTGGCCAATTGTTACGAATCCACAAGGTGTACAATGGACGCCGGAATCTGGGGTGAATCTGCATGTCGTATATGACACGCGCGGTGAAACGAAGGAGGAACAGACGCTTAGCGAATTCGTACAATTCTGCGTCCAGTCGATTGGCATAGTACACCTTGAGCAGATCAGTGGCGCTCATCATATGCATAACGTCTTGCGTATGTGTCCGGTTGCCGTGGACGAAGGAGCTCAAGTTCGTCAGTGGGAAATTGAACACGATTTTCAGCGCGCGTTGTAACATATACTGCGTGTAAACCATATGATCACTTAGACCGAATGTGCGGAAGATCCCAGCAAGATTGTACTTGGCACTGAGGCACAGGGTTCGCTGCGCAGTTGATAAAAGCTGATACGGAGAGCGGGACGGTTTGAGCCACTGCGCCAACTTGGAATAGCAACCAAGTGAGGTTAGGTTGGCCAACATTCGGGTCTGTCGATTGTTTGCCAAATTGAACTGACATCGTAAGAAAGTTTGCAGACTGACGTTGTACCATGTTTGACGCCTCGGGAGGTAGGCGGGGCTTGTAACATTGCTCATAAACTCGGGAACAGTGTAACACGGACGGAACCAACCGGATCGCGCCGATTTGCCATTGCATCGAAGCAGTGAGGTATGCCACGTTGCACCTCTCCGCATTTGTAGCCACTCACTCAGATATCGCTCGACGGGATTGCGCAACATAGTAAAATACAAGAACCTGCGATTGGAGAAAATGACAGTGAAAGATGATGATGGATCACTGGGGTGACGTCCCGCTATAAGATGCACGTATCAGAAAGAGAATAAATGTGGCAGCATTCCGTATACCTTAGGCAGAAAACCAATACAACAGGAATACGCAGGACTGGATGTGACAACGGAAGTAATGATAATGGTGTGATGGACAGGTAAAGAGATAAATAATTAAGTAAACGGTATATTTCTCCTCATAGCGAGATACATGTGTTCGATGGACTGTCTTCTGAGCTAGACAATTAGCTTGTGAACGTTCCGTCACCACCCGAGGTCACATCACCTATGCCTTAGGGTACGTAGTGTAGTGTAGCGATGCGCCTCGTTAAGTTCATCTAACAAATGTACAACATGAGCTATACAGATTCATTTCAATATCATGACGAGATACAATCCAACTGGACAGCCTGATAAATTTACACGACGGAATCGCATAAGACAGACAATAGTTCGAGTCATCTAAGTTGATTCCCAAACATGCTTCTGAAGTAGTCGAACAATTCACTGCATTTGTAAAACTGAGAGGTTGATCGCATGATAGGTGATAATGTAACCAAACGTTCAAGTGAAGTAATATGGTCATCCGTGTGGTCAATGCTTGAGGACCTGCTTCCATGCGCGGTAGTTCCTCGGAAGGTTTCCTTCCCAGTCCCACGCCTCATCTACCCGTGTGCCGGTGTGGTTTGGAAACAAGCAAGCCATTACTACATAGACTCGTCTTTAGGACGGTTGTTAAATGTATACAGATTAGGCACTTCGCCCATCCTGTCTGTTCCACTATTCAACTCTTTCTACTCAGGCGCCGATGAGTCGACGACAAAGTAGGTTGCATTGGTGTATTGATTAGGTCGCAGACTACAGACCTACACATCAGGATATCGACCCAATCATAGCCAACAAAGTAAAAAGTACTGGAGGAAAGGTAATAAGGACGAAAATAACTGAATGGCGTATAGTGCAAGATGCAACGCGACGGTTTGCTCAATATAGTTTCTGCATAGGGATTATAGGAAGCACGTAAAGGTTTGAAGTACAGTTCAAACTTACTACGGCGACCAGCGAGAAATACCCCAACGTTTTCTACCATGAATAATGTCCCTATGTACGAACCTGTCCAAAGCGACTACCTTTTGTTCCACCATTGAGTGGTCGCTTTAGACAGGTTTGACAGTATTTATATACAATGCAGCTCTACGTCCTTCATGAATGCCTGAGAAGGAACGTGCTGCCAGCGAGTACAAACCACTGACCGGCGCTAAACCATCCAGCCGCCTGGAACTTAGCTCAACAATACGGGAGACGCATGGTCAAACTGATGATAACAGATGTCCACAACCGCCAACGCAAATATGAGAAAGCCATATCCGAGAATAGAACCAATTGCATCAGTACTATTTATCCACAGCTATGAACAGCGCTGGAATCCGCAATTGAACGTCGAGTCAAAAGTACAAAGAACCGATGCAAGATTGCATTGAGCACAAAGTTAGACAAGCTGACTATGAGGAATGACTGCTATCGCAGTGAAGGATGGATCGAAAAGCTTCCACGCCGCCACTTCACAGTAACTGAAGATAATGTCTTGATTAAGGAGCTCAACTTCAACGCCAAAGATGCTTGCGCCAAAGACTACTTGGCTAGTTTAGAACGCGCATCGAACTCAAATGGACTGTCGGAGGAGTCCTAGCAACAGATATGGCAGACCGTTGTCCCAGTGTTTACTCGGAATAAAGTCATCCAGACCCTAGCCAAGGAGGAACAGGATGCACGCAGACATCTACAGAAAGATGAGAACATTGTAATCCTACCAGCGAATAAAGGGCGCATGACAGTGCTACTGGACAAACCGGCGTGTATTAACAAGGCCAAAGAACTGTTATCCGACACAACTACATATCGCCAGATCGATCAATAACCAAGAGCAAAACTGGTCAACCAGATCAACGCAAGCTGAAGAAACTACAAACAAAGAACGAGCTCACCGCCACGGAGAGATGGAGAATGAAAGCTGATGATACAAACATTGCACTGTTCTATGGACTACCAAAAGTACACAAGGATGGAGTCCCACTACGACCAATCGTCTCGCTCCGCGGAACCCCAGCACATAAACTTGCGACGGATTTGTGGAGGAGGTTGAAACATTTGGTTGCTGGTTTTTAGCATCAACAATGCTGAACGATTCCTCAACAAACTGCGGAGTGCCAGAATAGAAGACGACAAATTAATGCTTTCATTCGATGTCACTGCACTCTTCATTTCAATCGGTCACGAATTGGCCAAGGAAACCACGCTGGAACTACCTAAGAATCAACTAAGCCCAACGAAAACCTTACGACCTGAAAATTTCTGGGAACTCCTGAACCTCTGCATAACCACTTAGTTCCGCTTTGATGGCCAAATGTACCAGCAACTGAGAGGAACACCCATGGGATCACCAATTTCGGGGCTCATTGCAGAAACCGTAATGCAAAAATTAGAGCGCATTGCACTGCCATCTATCAGCCCAATACTCTGGATACTATACGTGGACGACAAGTTTGTCATCTTAAAACGGAACAGAGCACGGGCCACGTAGGATCTGCTCGACGGCACATTCTAGGAAATCAAATCCATGATTGAATTAGAGGAGGATAACACGCTACCATTTTTGGAGATACTGGTAACTAGCAAAGATGCGTATATCGGAAGCAAACGCGTACGGACCAGATATTACACTAGCACAGCAACCACGCGATGAATTACAAGAAGAGCTGTATTCAAACCCTGTTCAACAGAGCGGAAACGCACAGCAGCACAGCCGAATCGCGGAAACAGGAAGCAAATCACTTATATCGGGTGTTTAGAAACAACGGTTATCCGAGAAATTTCATCAGAAGAAGCTTAAAGAAACGAACGCCTCAGCGGCAACAGTCAGCTGATCAAGCAAACAAACGGATAGTACTCCCCTACATCAAGAACGTCTCCGAAATCACAGGAAGATTGTTGCAGTCACATGGAATCTCTTTGGCTCGCAAGCCAAGTGCCACCCTAGGGAAATTGATCTCAAGGCCCAAAGAAAAAGTCAATCAAGCCGACCAATGCAAAGTCATTTGCCGGATAAAATGCGGCGACTGCGATAAAAACTACGTCGAACAAACTGGAAGCAAGCTTTGTACACGAAGCGCTGAACACAAGGCGGCCGTCCGAAGGCACTATCCGCACTCATGGGTTTCTGCGCATGAAGATCAAAGAGGCCACCATTTCGACCTGGATAATGTAAAGTTCTTAGCATACGGAAGCACAAAACACGCGAGGGGTTTTTTGGAAGCATGGTACTCTACAACGTATTCAATCAATCGACACATCGAACTGGATGCAGTATAGGGCACACTACAGAGGAACAACCGCCAATCCGATCGACTGAATCCGGTGGAACGGGTGACTAGACAACCAGAACTGACGGTAGACTCGCTCGCAAGAGCAAGCAGACAAAGACCACGAAACACAAGGATGCGTGGTCAAAGGTCATCTGCCAATCAACCAAGCTGAACGCGGGTCGAAGTCCCAACCAATAGGATTGCTCGGTTCCACGGCCAACCACGGCGGTATAAAGAAGCACGCACACCACGCTCAGCGCACTCTCACCGAGACTACTCTGCGCTACTGCAGGCCACTCAACTACACACTGATGGTATCACCTCGACTGGTGACGAAATGTTTGCAACAAAATTGCCAAGCTCAGCGAACCGTTCAACCGCCATCTGAACAACCTGAGCTACCAGTCTTCAATGCTATTTCCAAAGAAGTTTTAATTAGCCCCAGCAGCTGCATGCAAACGAACTTCGTTTCACATGACTTCATGACACGTCTAGTTTTCAACCATGGGTTTTAAGTTGACAACTGACGTTGGTTAGCGCTGAGTTGTCTCTGTTGGGAAAGAAAGCCTTTGCCTAACGCAAAACAGTCATTATCCGTGCTACTAACAAGGAAGAATGTAATCACCTTGCAAAATGTGAGGATATCCCACAAGAAAATCACTCGGCATTTGTGATTGTAGGCTTTTAGATGGAATACGAAGGTGTCGATGGTACATTTCAGTGGACCAACTACGAATACACAGTTGCATATCACGACCATAACCGATATCGGTAGTATCGCGTTGTCTTCACGGACTCGTAAGGCGCGAAAAACCACACACACACACCATATCTGTGAGCGCAGTAACATCTTCAGCGATTTCATCAACCAGCGAGCAGTGGTTTCATGCTGAGATTGGGAGCTCACAATCTACTCCCATGGTGCTTTCAACTATATCCTTTCAACACACATGACAGTAGGTGCAGCGCAATACACTAGTCGATCTCCGGGGATGCCCATGTGCTGGCCGGGCACGACTCCAAAAGTACGGTCTCACTTTCGCGTACTCTCAGCTCGTCATTAGGTGAACATGGAACGTTTCACACAGCAGAAATAGATAATGCATGCCTTCGTACCCAATTCGATTTCGAAATAACCCATCTGTCCTGATGACGTTGTTCCAGTAATTGGTCAAGTCCAAAGATATGATAAGTATATTCGACACTGACGCCGCCTCATGTTCAACGAGTTAGACGGCAAGAGGATTAACATGGCGTGCGGCGTGTGAGAAATTCGATAATCACAATAAAGACAAAGAGGATCGATGCTTTTCGAATAATGCGCCCGGTTTGCCCTCATGCTATCGGTTGGACGCACACGGAGACGCTGTTGGGGCAACCACTTCTTTATCTAGGATGGGCAGCGTTCTCAGCTCCAACACTAAGTCATCGTTGTTTGATTGGATCCAAGTGTACATATGGTGCACTAATTAGGAGTAGTATGGATATCAGCGAGGGCGCACAATGGAAACAGGTAAATCATGAGGTGCCAGCAGACAAAGGTGTGGTGGAAAATCAACTGGACGACGTACACGAAGGGCAGGATGCAACCTAGACAGATGCTCAGTGAATGAAA